AAATAAGTCATAGTTGTACGGCAGTGAAGCATCGGTGTTGAACACTGATGTCATGCTGTCGATGATGATGATGATGATGATGATGACAATAATAATATAATGCAGCAGAAAACGAATGGCGTAATAATTTTCATCGCCACAAATTAACTGAGTCATGACCGGGCCTGTTTATGTTGCTGACCCTTTGATGATGATGATGATGATGATGACAATGGGCTAATAATGCAGCAGAAAACGAATGGCGTAATAATTTTCATCGCCACTAATTAACTGAGTCATGACCGGGCCTGTTTATGTTGGCCCTCTGACCCTTGAGACATTCGACTGATGTCAATTGATTACCCGAGCACTAGGCATTTGGATTTCGAAAAAAAACAAGGAGTGCAATGTTTAAGCTGTTGTCCCATTCAGATTGTGACCGGTGAATACAGTTCACATGCTTCATTCGGTCTCAAAATACTCGGACAGACAACCAGTGAGCTGCTGGGACCCAGTTTTGATCAGGCAATAGCAACGACGCATGCTTTACTGCACATCCAGCTGAATGTAAGAAAGGTCCATGCGAAATGTTCTTGTATCCGTAGCAGATGAGTTGCAGTTCCACTGGAATGGTTGAACATTCAACCCAGACCCCTCGTGGTTGCTGGCAATTCATTCTAAAGCTACTGGTTACCCACGGGTGACTGGGAGCTGAGCAGTTGTCCCGGAACCGGTGAAATCTATTGGGAGCTACCCCATAACTATGCTGATGAACTGCCACTTATAAGATAACAACACCGGCGGTTAGCAGCAAAACATATGCTTGGGCATGCTGCATCCGTAGGTAAACGCTGGAAAAGAACAAACAGGCAAACATAAGGAAATGGAGCTTAAAAGCCGACACAATAACCAAGAAAAGGCTGATAAGTGTCAAATCGTTCAGCTGTAGAATTCTTTAGGTGCCTAGATGCCGTGCTACCCACGCCCAAAGGAAGCACGAGGGCTAGGATACTGTAAGGTTGCCCAAATCCAGACAGGAGAATTCGACGTGCGAAAGTTGACTTCAAACCAAGAACCTTCCGGTCAGTAAATTCGTGCTTGAAGCATTGAACCATCTCGTCCCAACTGTCAGACCAAGTCTAGACCAGGATTTATGGAAACGGGATGCGCCCCGCTGTCCTCACTACATGCATGACTGTTGATCAAGAAAACGGTATTTCATGAGGCATCATGCACTGCAGAACACACTTAGCTAAGGTGTGCTAGGCATGCTGATTTGCCATGTACAGAAAAGTCCATTGTTCCACAGACCAAACTCAATGGTGGTCGTTGGCTTGTTCGCTGAGCTGGGCAATTTGATTGCAAACGTTTCATCACCAATCGAGGTGACATTATCAGTGCGTTATTGTGAAGCGTAGAAATGCGTAGCGGTGGGTTGGTGGTTGGTTGCCCAGCGCAGCGAACAAACCAACGACCACCATCTACGCTACCTGAGCTACCGACATTCTCCTCTAAAGAAAACCAAACTCAATGCATAAGTTGGTAGAGGACGTTGAAAATGATTACGGAGAGGAGATTATGGTGCTGGTTACTTTCCAGGGGGGTGTCCATGTGATCATCCGTGCGCATTTCTGGAGGCGCTACAAGCTATGGTCGCTGACTGTTATCGGTGGCGTTCTAGCGGTGCGTTTTCATTCGTACTGTCTGAATAGGTGTTTAAAGGTGTGGGTACCCAGAGTATGTAAGATGGACTAGTGATTAGCCTATTCTTCCCTCCCCCTCGTTTTACCATTCGCTTCAACAAGGGGCGTTATCTAAATAAATTGATACGGTTATATGACAGTTCAGCACCCCCATCCTCGTGTTGACGTTATTATCAATCAGGATAATCACTAATGATCAGCTGTCCGTATCAGCTGCTCAGCAAACGCAACTTGTGCGGATGAACACAAGTAATGAAAAAGGATCAAAGTGATCACTCTCAACTTCCAGCCAAGTTATCATGATTGTACCTACTTCTTCCAACAGCAGGATTATTATCAACGACATAACTCTGTTCTGAATGAAATCCAGTGTCGATCAGTGCTGGTTTGGCGCAAACTTGTAAAGCCAGGTTCGAAACAAGCGTTGGTTGCAGAGGGAAACCTACCGAAGGCGTCAGGACTTTTGTTACGTAGTGGTCCATACGGATGACAACATTAGAGCCTATCAGAACAGTCTAGGGAGTGACAGCTATTTGCATTGTTAGATGATATTTCGTATACTATTGTATCGGGAGGCGATTGATTGGGTAACATAAGAGAACGAAAAATCGTCCCCTGTTGTTGAGACCTAAATCAGAAGGGAAATCACCGTAGTTCTGAGGTATTGCACACATCTAAGGACAGTGCACGTAAGGACGCCTTCTCTTATGTGATCCTGTGAATGTAAGCGTTGATCACAAAAGACAGACCAACCCCTTCTCCAAAATATGGCCCATTGTTCAGCTGTAATACCTTTTCGGAGCCTAACTACCATTCCACCAGAAGGAAGCACGAGGGTTGGGATGCGGCCAGGTTGCCTTAGACAGGGGAAGTCGAGAGGCCGGGGTCAAGTTGGAACCACGGAATATCCGGTCAGTATTTTCGCGCTCTAGTCATTGATCCATATAATATGAGTTATATAGCATGACAAAACTTGCTTACTTCTATGCTTAAAGGTATTCTACTACACATGAAATCCTTAGTTTCTTCTAGGTTTTCGCACTCCATATTCAAGCACCTGAGACATGTGACATTGTATGCAAGAGTAAATTATGGAGAAATAAATCCACACGTATCAAACAACACACCAAAAGAGCATATCAAAGTTATTAACTCCCCCAGTATAGATGTAACGAACTTTGGGGGGACAAGATGGCTCAATTGTAAAAGCGCGAATTTACTGACCGGAAGTTCGCAACCTCTGCATCTCGACTTCTCCTGGCAAGGTTTGGGCAACCTGGCATTATCCCAGCCCTCATGCTTCCTTCGTGTGGCCTAGCAGCTAGGCGCCGAAAGGGTGTTACAGCTTATCGATTATTATATTTTACTTTTCTGACGAACTTGAAAATGATTTTATTCTTCGAACTAAAATACGAGTTTAATATGTGGTTCTGGTCTGACTTCTTCCCATCAGCTACAGGAAACAACAAAATCTTTGTCGTGTTAGAGGTTGTACCATTCCGGAGCAATTAGTACCCCAACCTCTGCGATTAATGTAGTCAATTAAATGACTGCGTACAGACAGCATCATCAGTCAGCATGCTGGGTCGGTTATCTCTAGTTCGACTGCGAAGTGTCTACATTGAGAGAAACGCTTTGTGTAAAGAGAATGGTCTTATTAGGGTTTCGCCCATTAGGCTTCATGGCAAAAACAGCTAACGCCCCAAGGACGGTCCCCAGAATGTGTTTGTTCTAACCCGATTAGGACAACATAGTGTTTTCCCCAGTAATTCACATTTACTCTTACGATCATAGTCAAATCACGAACACTCGGAGTCTTTATATCGCTATAACACACCCACCAGTAAGGTGTGCTTGACCCACTACCATTTATGCCTAATGCAACCGAATGGCATGTGAGATCTGACCTTTCACTCACATCAAACTGAATTGTACTGCGTCACTCAAAACGCCTAATGGAAATATGAAGATACGAATGCCAACTCGGATATCGGTTTTCCACCCATGACGGAAGTCGCTTGATCTCCATGAAGCCATTTTAGAGATGAAGCGGTCAGATAGATGCAGCACAGATGGGACCTATCAATGAACTATCCTTAAATACGAACACAATCCAGCAATGGTGCAACAAATACCCAAAGGCACCGGAGTTCCAATGTGAGTGATGTCGCAGGACCTTGTGGACAGAAGGACTGCTGAACACGTGGTGCTGATATAAATTCTTAAACTTTGGCAACCTCACTATGTACACGAGAGTAATCCAACAGTCTGTCTATCGAATGTAAAAACCACAAAACGACGACTGTGATTTAATAGACCCAAAACAAAACAAAACCGAACAGTCATCTTCAAAAGAACTAATAGCGACATGCTTTTAAAAAAGTCTTAAGATTCAACTGCCGTTAACACATCAAGTCTGAAGCCTCAAATTTCAACTGCATGCTTGAAATTTCCGTTAGACTGGTTCACTGCTGTACATTTCAACCAGCCGTAAGCGATTTCCATGAATCTCCCAGATCGCTATCATCCACGATCGATGACTGACTGTAAGAATACTGTAAATGGGTATGTGGACCAAATGATGATCGAACGGCCAGTTCTAATCAGCTTAAACCGCGACCTTTATTCATTCAAGTGAAGTTGAATGTCTGTTCTGAGGCTGGACGCCACACCACGAAGTCCAAAATATGTCAGATAATAAAACTGCGACATTTACGGCATTCACTATTAATAGAACAGTAACAAGCATTCAGCCACAGCCATTCAGTAAGCCACTCGAAAGAACCACAGCGACTAAGGTACTGCCAGGTTACCAGAGCCCACACAGGAGTAACCGAGATGTCGGGGTTGTGTTCGAACGACGGATATTTCTATCAGCAAGTTCGTGCTAAGGCTGAGTGGCTAAGACAAACTGATAACGCGTGCAAGGTTTTTGTACTCAGGTGATCTCAGCAGGATAATCAGAGAGGTACCAGCTTTCCAGAAGGAGAACCAAAGAACTGGATTGCTTGAACAGGGCCTGCAACGTAAGAATGAAAAGAGTTATCTAAATCCCCACCACAGAGCGACGTAGAACCACATGTAATGTGATCCTAGTATGTATAGAAATTGACCGCATGTCTGGTGAGCGTCACTAAACAGATGGTGAACTAATCTTCTCTGTGCGCGGTGCCTGAATTCTGTTCCCACTAAAAAAGGATATAAAACCGAGGAATGCATTACCAAATGATGAGCTCATGAGATTTAGACAGTGGAATAGCAAGCAGTTCACAGAGATCGTTAACCAAGACAAAACATACTCGGTTGGACTGTGAGCGAGGATATTCTACTGCATAATGAGGCGATTTAGAAGATTTTGCCATGAAAGCCACTTCACGTCTGCCAGTAAAAGCTTCTGGAGACTGGTAGAGAAAGACCGTCC